CACCTCGGTTTTCCAGGTAGAGTGCTGTGCCGGCGTGAGTGCCGCTTCTTTCTTGAAAGTGTGAGCCAATTTTTGTGGGGCCAGTCAATATCCCTGAGCCATCGCCTCCAGTACAGCTGTTGTAGTCTGAGTTTTTGCAGCCCGTTCTTATTAATGCTTCTCTCTAAATCTTTAATAACAGAAAAATGCCGTTCTTCCCAACGTGGCTGATGACTCGGCTCATAGCTTACAGGAGAAAGAATTTTTCTTGCCGTGTCCATATTCCCTTGCGCCAAGGTTTTTCCGCCTCACTTTTATGTTTCTTTCGCCTCACTTTTATCTATGGATCATCCCCAATTAAGGGAGGACACAGACCAGACAGTTCAGATTCTTTTTCAGGATTTACAGCATCAGAGTCTAAAAGATTATCACAGCATTCTGCCTCTTCAAACAATAAATTTGGCTCTTTAAAGTGTCCCTTAGCCTTGCCCAGACCAATCAGCGCGGCTAAGATTTTTATCGGACTTACTCCCAGCTTTTCTAAAAAGCAAAAATTGTGAGGACTACCTCTCGTTCCATATTCCTGCCCGGGCAAATTCCACAAATTCCTGGTGCGGCTGAACGACCTTCCTCAAAGTCCGATCAAGTAGCCAACAACCAGTGAAGGCTGTTCCTGGGTATTATCCCTTTCAGCCTGTAATTCCTTTTGGCCTTTCCAGGGTCGAACCCAATTCGGCCTGGCCTTTCAAGGGTCGGACCCCAATTCGGCCTATTCCGGGGTAGCCCTCTTCGGATCACCAAAATCCCCTGAAGCCGGACCAGCTGCACTATGTCAGACTTACGAATCCCGACGCTTTAGGAGACGGCACACATCTCCTGCCGTACTGCCGTCGACAGTGACCTTATCGCCTTCCAGCTCCGAATTACTCCGGTCCACCGCTTCCCGGGTTCCGTCTGATGAAAAAGCAGAGTCTGGGAAACCCTGTCCGGTGCGCCACTTGCGGTGGGCGGAGGAAGCAAGCAGCCGATTCAATGTGAATGATAGAGCAAGCTTCAACTTTATTGATAGAAATCACACCTTATATAAGCACTCTACAATACACTACTTGCAACTCTATTGGATACATTAAAGAAACTACATTATAATATCTCAGCCATTGGGTACATCTAAAAAGTCACATTATAATATACCAGCCCCTTGTGGCACCTCTGGTATGCATAAACATCTTCCTAGCTGTAAACCTGCTTCTCTCCCAGGGCTGTTTCCCTTCACCCCCCAAGGTCGTAATGCGCCCCAACTTATCTCCTTGTTCTCACAACAGTCCTTGTTATCATCAATGTATGCTGGGTTTTTTCCTTTGTTTACCTCAGGTGGCTGGGACCGACTTCTGCAGGGAGCTATGGCCGACCAGCTCCTGCAGGGAGCTATGGCCTTGCTCTCTGCAAGCCGTTCTCCAACAAGAACACATTTATTTAGAGCGCCCAATAAATGTGGACATGACTTCAGGTACTCTTACTATGCACGGTGATTTTTGTAATGTTATATATGCTGATTATGAAGAAAGAGAATTGCTAATGCCTTCAGACTAACTTTGTTTTGGTACGTATTTGTGTATGACCTACTGCACTCTTGAACCAGAATTAACACCCCTACTTTATTCTAGCGTTTGGTGTAAATCTGTCCCCACCAACTTTCCATTTTCATCGCAGAGGAGGTTCCAATTTAGTCCAATATCTTATGTAACTGGACAGTGCTTTCTGGGTAGTAACTATTTTTTTTTTAATGTTTCTAGGGATTTTCTTCCACGAGGTTCTGGAATTGTAACAAGACGACCATTGGTCCTGCAACTCATCACTGCTAAAACAGGTAACTTCTTTCTCTTTTTGGTTCGATGCCTGGACAAAGTGCTGATGTACTTCAGCAGGAGAAAAAAAATTCTAGGAAAACTTAAGCAGTGTGACGAAAGGTGCAACTAAGCTGACTGGAACAAAGACTTGCTGCTTCAAAACTGCATGCTCAGGACCAGCTAATCTCATTGTCCTGTCTGGGAAAACGGTAGAATCTAAACCCTAGAGCACATAGTAAATTTAATCCAAGATCAAATTTGAAGCAGTGGCGAAACATGATTACATACAAAGTGTTTTAGAAATTAGGTTTGATTTATTAATTTCTTGATGAGCTTTACAGATATATTAGTTAACACACCAAAAGTGCTGTACTTCTACCTTTAACTCTTGCTCCAGTGCACGCAGCATTGATTCCACACAGCTTGTTTTCGTGACTTGTCTTTTTTGGTTGAGCTCACTGCACTAAGTAGAGCAGAAGGTAGGCTGGGGGAGAAAAAGGCTTCTGTGTATTTGTCTGGTCAAAAATAAAAATACACTACATGTATACCACTGTGCTATGTGATGTGTCGAGATCTTTCATCAGAATTCACCACTTTGTACTCTTCCAAGGGGCACTTCATCTGCTGTTGTGTAGCTCAGTTTCCTAGCATATGTAAAAGCAGCTACAGTTTTCCATTATTCAAATGTTTTTGTTGTTGCTTCTAAAGCAATGTAAGCAACAAAATCACTGGTTTACTGTTGATTTCTGCTTAAAATAGTAAAGAGATGAAATAACATCCAAAACAGCATTTAAAAATAGAGTGCAATTTAAATTATAGAACATGGTGAAACTGGGGAAGAAACAAAATTGAAGCTGCCTATAGAACTTTAGTCTGTCCCTATGTGTGAGGTGTAATTAAGTTTTTGTGCACATTTTTTTCCATAAGGTCTTTTTGTTAAGCAGAAAGGTAGACTTCAGTCTGCCTACACTCCAGTCTTTTTTTCGGAATTACTGCTTTTAAAGCACATTCATACTTTCAATGCCTCTATGAAATTTTCCATAGTGTTTATTCTGTGGAAGAGAAAGCAAAAACTGGAATTCAGTATTTCTATATGCTCAGTTTAGAAACTTCAGGTTTTCCAACAGTATAATATGCTTATAGTGCTTTATATATATTAAAAGATGCAGTTCACTTTAGTTGAAGATATGTACCATTGCCATTTCTGCATACCTGGCTTTTGATTTCTGACAGAGCATGTAGAAATTCATGAATAAGGCTTAGCTACGGAGAATCTTCATCTAATTTTCCCAGCACCATGCAAGAACAGAGAGAAAGGAATCGAGCTCTGTGCTGGCATTCCTAGCAAAGTGACTAAACTGCAGGGACATATTAGTAAGTAAACTCTTAGGTCCATCCTAAATTTACCCTAACTGGTCTATATTGCCTTGTTTTGTAAAATCATCATTGTCCCTTGGTTACTGTCTTTAAGTAGGCCTCTAGGTTTTCATATAGGTGCCTTCTCTGTTGGAAAGTAGTTCTTCATTATGTCTTAAATAGCACAACAAAAACTTTAAAAGTTCTGGAGAACTGAGCTTCAGCCTGATTTCATGTTTCCTTGATGTCAAGAGGTATTTCTCCCTTTGGGAAATGCTGTGTATTTCTTGTTTGGGATTAGATGCTAAGACCTTGAAAAGGCAAGCTTTAATTATTTTGTTACTTACTTTAAACTTTGTTCTGCTGTTGTTTGTCATGGTGAAATTCCAAATAACTTTTATCTTTTAAACCACCTTTATCTTTCTGAACTAATTTTAAAAAATAAAGAAAACCACTTAGCTTAGAGAAGCGCAGTGTTCTTTTACAGGAAGCAGGTGCTGGACTGATTTTTATCAAGTCCGTAATTATGTAAAATATTATAGAAAGTAATTAGAGGATTATATCAGGTTCTTGCTGCAGTAGCAAGATTAGTTGATCTCTAATCCTGGGATTTTTCTTGACTCCTTTAAGAGTGACTAGTCTAAATCTTAGAGTATGAGTTGGGAGGGAGGGAACACTTTCTATATAGGCATGCAGAGGTGACTGCAAGATATTTTAGCAACGTTTTGGAACTGGCTGAGAATCTTTCTGGAATGTGAATTTGATTGACAGAGGAGGTTAAAGCTTCATTTAACTTTGAGTCGTTGCACTAAGGGATAGATTGGCAGCTGAGGCATTTGTGCATACCCAAGAGGAAACTTTGAGCACTCATTATTAGGGTTGGATATGCATGGAAGGGTGCAGCAGGATTTGAAGTTAGGAGGAGTTATCAGGGGCCCCCCAGCATCTGAAATATCCTACACATCTGGGTAAAGAGCTGTTATCCCTGTAAATATACAAGGGATAACATGAAGCAATTCAATACTGAGAAATTTATCTCATGAGATGTGGAGTTTTTTTGTTTTTTTTTTTTTTAGAATTTTGTTTACTTCCCCTTTTTTAAAAAAATCTGTGTAATTAGTACAAAGCTATTTTCTAGTGACCTATTGACCTCCTTTAATCACTAACATATTTGGATGGGAAAGTACAATTCCTAAATGGCTTTATGCCATTTGCACTTCCACATCTGTGCAAATACTGTACTCTGTTGAAATCTTGAAGGCAAAGAATACTTAATTAAAATTAAGTATTGCAACTGATGAATCAGTCTTTAGTAGTTGTGACTGTTTTCCTCTGAGAAATACCCAGTAGCACGAATAAGTGAAAACATGGGTGTTAAAAATAATTTCTAGTCCTCTGAAGGACTGTGACTTCTTTCTGACTATATCCTACCTTGAGTCTCTTTTGGGACTGCCCAACTGCATTTCAAATGAAACTGTAAATGCAGCCTGTATCCAATAACTTTCTATTTTAGCTAGAGGAGAGAGGAAAAAGAAAATAATCTCCATCTTGTAAATATTTTGAGGCTGCAAGGTGGTTTTCTTCTTACAGTTTGAGGCTGATGCTCATTACTTGTCCCAAAGTAGTTCAAGTCCTGTAAGCAGGGTCACAATTTTTCATTCTTATTCTTCATGTCATGTTTTTTGTTTAGTTGCTCCTCTTGAACCGAAGAAAAATGGCATATATGACATCTTGCTGGCAGAGAGAATTGAACCAAATAAGCATGTAGTCTTTTTTCCTGTAATAAACAAACCAAAATTCTGGTAAAGCAGCAGTTTACCACCCATAAGTCACAATACAAAAAAGTTCCCAGCTGCACTCAGGCATGCAATCCAGGTGCAGCTTGTTTCTCTCTCTGGTAGCTGCATTTGGCTGTGGGCAACTCTACAATGTTGGGAAAGTCTAATAACTCTAGTGCCTTTTGTTGTTGCTAGTCTCTGAAGGAGCCCAGAGTAGAGAATGGTTTTGGAGAAAATAGTCCCATTGGGGAAGATACAATTCAGTGAGTTTTTGAAAGGCACGGGTGTGGATAGGGTGCTGTTAGATGGGAGGCTGACTGATGGTGAGTTTCAGGTTTTTCAAGGCAAGCAAGACAGCTGTGATAAATTAGCTTAGCCATTCAGAGGATGGACATGGGAGAAATTCCACCTGCTCTTTTCCTGGATGAGAAAGCATTTTGTTTTGTGAGAATCTAATGTCTAAATTCAGGCAAAAGACATGCTGTTAAATAGAACACTAAGTGGTAAGTAAATCATCACGAGGTTCAAAAGACATTCTGACTTTTTCTGAAGTCTTGCAGATGCTCTGTTCTATTGAAATTGCTGAGCTTTAATGCAAGTATCTTTTGTTGTGAGGCTACTCCTCAAGCATACCATCTTTTATTGCCATCTGGTGGCAAAAACAATCATCTAACAGAAAATGAAAAATTTATAAAAAGAATATAGATTGGTTATTTTAGTTAACAAGAATTACCTTAGAGAATTCATTAAGAGGAAGTCATTTGGAGGTCTTCAAGGACAAAATCTAGAAATGTTCCACAGTGCTAATTGTAGGGGAGAGGCTGGGCACTTTTCAGGGAGGAAAGGAAGACAGTGGCTGTCACTTTCTGGATCCCACTCTGGCAGCTACTCATTCTGATGATGGTCAGGGATGCTGTAGAGACAAGTTAAGATGTGGGAGATGAGTTCCCCAAAAGCTAAAAATTGACATCACCATGGGGAGAATGTGGTAGTGACTGGTGACCCCTTCCTGAGACAGTGAAAGACTCATCACCCAAATAGGACTGATATGCTGGAAGAGGGATAGTGCTGCCTGTCTGAAACCAGAATTTAAGCTGTTGCTGTAAGGTTGCAGAGACTGCAAATCTTCCTTCCTGCTATTTGTGTGTGTGTGTACTTGTAACAGTGCCTGGAGTGACCTGAGCTGATCAGCAGTGACTGCTGAAGTGTGGCAGCATGGGTTTGAGGGCTCAGCCAGTTCTCACATCTGTACCCGCAAATGCAGTATGGGCTTCAGCTCCTGTTAGCTGAATACTTGCTTTTCTAAGTGGTTTTGCCTGGAAGGTTTTGTTTCCTTGATCCCACATGGATGCTCAGTGACATCAGTAAAGATGGAATCCCCTCACTGAAAGAGTAGAAAATGGCTCTATATTTGCCCATCTTCAAAAAGATAATAAAGTGACAGAAAAATCTGTCAAAGTTCACTTTTAAGAAAAGGAAGTCTGTAATTAGTTATTAACTAACAATCTGAAAGGTGCTTGCAATAAATAGCAGCCAACAAAAATTCATCAACAGAAAAGAAGTCTTATTTTATTGCAGGATAGCAGGCTTGTAAATAAAGGTGTAGTTGTGTGTCTTATCTTGGGTACAGTAAGGGTTTAAAGCTGTCTTGGATGTTTTCTTGTATAATAAACAAGGTCTAGAAAAGACAGCAAGATGGATGCACAACTGTTTACAGAGTGGAAGGGGACTTCCTTCCAGGTCATGTTCAGTATATTACTGATAGCATGACAGAACAGAGTGTGTTTATTAAGTTTGTATTTGGCAGAAATGAATGAGACTGTGAAATACACTGGAGGGCAGAACTGGAATCCAGATTGCTTGCAAAGGAAGAGAAGTGCCCCAAA